TTTTTTTTTCATATAATGTGATCAGTCGAAATATAGTCCATCACTTTGTGACTGAATGACGATATCTTTGTACAGAATCTTATGCTAGCTCTAGATTAGAGTATTAACTGTAGTTAAATTAAACTAATCGGGAGTAGGTCGGGAGAAGTAGACAGAAAAAAAATTTTTTCGTGTTTCGACGATTGCCACTGCTCAATGCGCTACCGACGCCGCAGCTGACAAACATAGCATTTCGTGATAGGGCTCAGTATTTTGCGGGTTTTCGACTGAGAGGGTATTGAAACTTACATGAAAATCTGTCATAGGCCATAAACCGTATACATAGGTATAAAGTGAACACGCTAGCCAAGCCATCGAAATGTTTTTTTTTACCTGTGTAGTGGCCAGTTAAAGACTCTGTTATGATTCCGTGGCCTTATAAAAACAAGTGTGAGTCGGACTCGCGCACCGAGAGTTCCGTACAAACCTGCAAGGTTTACAAAGTTCGTTCATTACGACATATTTTGTAATGTAACAAAAAATTTAAGGTTTTCGGAATTTTTCCTTTATGTGTGCTATAAAACGTTGCTTCATGCCAAATTTCAAGATTCTAGGTCGACTGGAAGTACCCTTTAGGTTTTGATTCCCTTGCGAGTACTTGCGAGTTTCAAAATATGCAGCTTAAATTGCTGTTTCTTTTGATTGCGTTGACATAGAAGTTTGATTTTGTCACAGCTTAAAGGTATTATAGACCTGAGTATTTGGTATGAATTTCAATTTAATACCTCTACGCGTTTATGAGGAAATGGGTAGTAAGTTTAAAATTATTAAAAAAAATATATATTATGTGATGTAACTAAAAATTTATGGTTTTCGTAATTTTTCCTTTATCTATGCTATAAGACGTTGCTTCGTAACAAATTTCAAGATTCTGAGTTCACGGGAAGCACCCTGTAGGTTTTGATTCCCTTGCAAGTGTCGAAAATTTGCGGCATAAACGGCTGTATCTTTTGATTGCGTTGGCTTAGAAGTTTGATTTTTTCACAGCTTCGAGGGACAGTAAACCTGAGTAATTGATATAAATTGATATAAGCTTCATACCTCCACGCGTTCCTGAGAAAAAGAGTCTTGACAGACGGACGGACGGACGGACAGACGGACAACAAAGTGATCCTGACTGATCCTATAAGGGTTCCGTTTTTTCCTTTTGAGGTACGGAACCCTAAAAAAAGTCCACTATAAGCTTTACTATATTCCTTGAAATCGTTTATAAACATTTATTACAAAATATTTCTGACAAGTAAATGAAGAAATATGCATTGTGTACGGTCACCATCAACAAAATAACAGGAATAATATAGTACTATTTTCCTCGGTTTGGACTGTGTTTTTGATATAAGACCCCATATATTTTTTTATTTGTAATGTTATTCTGCATCAGTTTTTACACATCCAATAAACTGCCGCGAAAAATAAAAAGGCACCACGCTCCATACAAATTTGGTCATTGTCATTTAGGTATATTGTTATTCAAAACTGTTACAAATAAACTTTTCTGGATTTGTTATGGGCAAATTTAGCGATTACACTTTCAATATCGACTTCTTTAAGCAAGTCATGCTCTATATTCCACATTGTGAAATGATTAAGACGTCCTTGGCCCATAATGTTCTTTAATTAATTCATTTTTGATTCGTTCAAATCGGGCTCGGTTCGCCCGCCAGTGGCACCAACCAAGCGAACAAATAGTCACTTTCCTTTTCTTACACATACAAAATACCGACTATTTGTCTTTTTTCGTTAATTTCGTTAAGAAAAAAAATCAAATTACATGTAGGTTGGTAGTAGTTTTGTAAACAAAACATTTTCTTCATAAGTCTTGCTGTTGAAGTGGTGTTATTACGAAATACCTATTTGAGCGCGGGGCCCCCCAATCCGCGGGGCCCGTAGCATTTGCTACTCTTGCTACGTGGCTAATCCGGCACTGAATGATTGTTTATGAATATCACATGATGCATGATATGAAGCTGTGTGAACTCTATTCTTCTCAAACGTGTTATAAGGGACTGCACAAAAGGTTTACGATTTTGTGGTCACTACCAGCCTAGATGGCGCAATTGTAGAAAGTTGTTTGTTTGTGCAATCACAGCAGCAGTCTAATATTGAGCGTCCAATGGTGTGGTGCTAGCAAATTCCTTATTCGACGAAAAACGAGAGGTTCACAGTAGCAAAAATACTGTAGCCTTCATTGACAAAGATCGCCTACCAAGCGTGGAGGTTATTGCAATCTGTATTGGTGTAGAGAGGTGGCGCTGAAACTCATAGCCCAGCAGTAGACCTGTCACATCATATGTAGAGTAACATATAACATAACGAAGTGGTAGGCAGAGGTGCACTTTACGGCACTTAATGCCACTGTACAATGTGACACCTACTTTTCTCTATTTATGTTATGAATCCCATGTAATAGGGGGTGAGCCTATTGTCATATACCGGGTACAATTCCAGACTCCGTGCTACCAAAGAGAATATTTTTTTAGACCCAGTAATACTTTGCCCGACCCGGGAATCGAACCCGAGACGCCTTGTCTGACAGTCGCACTTGCAACCACTTAGACAACGAGGCAGGCATATGTAGAGTATTTAATTTATATTAGCTGTCCAATGACAATTTCAATTGACATACAAACGATGTCTCTAATCATGAATACAAGATACATTTGGAAATGATTTACCTCTTTCGCTTCCTCAACAGTCATCAGTCTTCTCACGTATGCTCGATCTCTTCTTTAATACATCTTTAAAACATTTAATAATTTTTCTGTTAATGTATTCTACACTCTAAATTAAAATTGAAAGGGTTGGCTTTCACTGCTCCGAGGTCTATTATTCCGGTTTACTAATTTCTTGGTGGAAATCCTCGAAAAGTAATTGTCATCTTCTCTTCGAATTAGCTCGATTAGCATATTGAAGAATGAACTTTTCACTGTTGATTTTTCATAAATGTTTAAACGGAGTTAGAGTTATTAAATTGGAACGTTATTATCATTGACATTTTTTACTGTAACATTTGTATTTTCTTATATTCCCAAGAGTGTTACATTGAATTTATAAATGCATACATCAGATTGTTCCTCACAACATAGTAGGTATACGTAGCTGAAGCTACAGAGGCGCCTTAATAAAATATTCTGCACACTCAAGCTGAGTATGTACATGTTTGTATACATATACAATATGTACGTATACAAGTACATATAATCCCATTGCTGCAAACTTGTGATATATAAGAACAAAGGTTGACTGAACGTCAATTTAACGAAGACTGTTATTGCTACGCTTCCGTAGCAGATAACCCACTACGAGCTACGAGCAGCGCTACGAGGTTTTCTCATCCGTTCAGCAATGTTTCATTCCACGCATCAATTTTGAAAATTTTACGCGATAAATGACAACAATTGCATCTTATTTAATTACAAATAAGGATAGCTGTTTTTAATCTGAGAGGTAAGATTATAAATCAACGTAAATATTCGATTCCTTTTTATGTCAAAAATTCAAAATATCAAAAGAGAGTTCATTTCCTGATTATGTTTAGATATCAAAGAACATTTCGTCTGTGCAATTTATTTTACAAATCTTTTTGACATTATCAAGTAGGATCAAGAGTACAAACAAATATATCCATTTCATACCAGACGACGTGATTCGGCGTATAGTCGAATTAATCCAGAGGTGCTGATGAAAAAGGTGAATAAACAACACTAATATATTATGGACAAAATTTATTTAATAAGTCTTACTTGTGGTTTAAAGTACTATATACAGGTCGTAACATTAATTGTAATACTTATCTATAATGAACATTGAATTTAACATTCACTGTTGTAAATCTAAAGCAGCGTTTCCACTTCGTCAGGTATTGAGTTTAGTGTACTACATACGTTGTTAAATGTCTAATACGTTAAAGTATAATTAAACATGGCTGCCAGAGTGTAAACACGCTCTCTACCCGAGGACGTAGAAACGAGCCAGAAAATTAAATCTGATCAAATATCCATATGGCATATATTTATATGTTCACTTAAGTACTTCAAATATCATAACTATTTATTGTAAATTACAATATGTAATTGTAAAAAAAATAACTATTTACAAAATATCGATGGTCACCCTTCATTTTTCAATTTATTTAATAATTATAAAATAATATATTTATCTGTGTTGTGAATTTATTTTTGTAAACAGGCAAAATTGAAAGCTATATTTATAATTATGTTTGTGAAAGTATAATTACTGAGCATTCAACTGTAAGTTTAATTTTAAAAGCTGAGTTAAATGCTTGACTGATGGCAGTCTAACTAACCAAAAGATCGATAAAACTATTCCAAATTATGATTATAATACACATAAAAACAAGCAGCCTTTGTTTATCTATAAAAAAATACCCAAAGCGAAATGAGACGGAAATGTGATCGAATCAAAAATCGATTCAGTTTGATGAATTGCTGTTATTACGGACGTGGACGTTTGTCAAAAGACTTCATTATTCGCGGCGTGTATTTATTGAGATTCAATACGTTTTACACAAACGTGAATATGCGGCGGAGAGAGCATGCCTCTATGACCATTAAAAGAATTCCCTTTTAAAACCGACTGCTGCTACCCAGCTCAACACACGCATTGCAATACTTTTCATCAAAATTCTATAACGGTATTTAAAAAATAAAAGTACCGATTTTTCCGACCAAATAAAATGAGATTTGAACCTTCCAGGTCCATAGACTAATTGAAGTAATTGACAAGTGATAGATGTCATAGTGACTTAATGAATACCTGTGTTTACAACAACCATTAAACACGTACACAGACGATGACTTTAAACAACAAATTATTAAATAAAATAATATAAAAACCGCCATGATGTCAATTGAAAATAACTATTACAAAAAATGAAATTATAAATCTAAATTATACAACTTTAACATAATTTATTTAAAAAAAAAAAGTTTAATAAAAAAATTGATGATTCATTTTATCAAGGTGGGTAATTTCGTAATTTTAATCTAAATGAACATAATTATGTATGATTACAACAAAATGGATGGTTCATATGATACTGTACTTTAGGTCGAAAATTGTGTCAAATACTTAACATTATTATTTCTAAGTTCTAACCTAATAGTCGAACCTAAAGATCAAGCTCGGAGTGATGTTATTACCTAATTACGAAAGATTTAATTCAATGAACAGCAGATTGCATTATTGTATGAATAATAAAAATATACATAATTCATAATTTTATAAATCATTCAAATAAATGAAACTCAAAATCTCGTGTTTCTTATTTAAGTAGTCATTCATAATATTGATAAAGTAGATTGGCACTAAACAAATAGCTAGCAAATATATTCTAGGGCCATTCATTAGACATCTAAAACAAGCTTAAAAAAGCGAATTTACAAAATAAAATAAAAAAATTAACTGCTTTGATGTTCAGGGACAGATTCTGCTAAAAAGCAGGCACCTCACATAGACCGACTTAGTCCTAGAACCTAGCGACATATGACTAAGCAGATTACATAAAAATATTTTAAGACTTCCCAGAAAACGTAATGTATGTCTATGTATGTATATATATCGTAGCAGCATTAAGCGACTAAATAAATAATCAGCTGCATTTAGTAAATTCGTAAAATTAGTACAACTATCTATATTACAGAGGGCTTAGTACGAGCTCGAAACGGGACCGCGTTTGATGTTCTCATTGGCTGGTTTATTGAAGCCGACCAATCAGTGCGCCGAATGCAGTCTCGTTTTAATTACTTTAATCGTAAAACAAAACTCGTATTATGCCCTCAGAATATTTGTCTTCATTTTCACCATTTATTCTCCTAACTACAGGAATGGCATAGGCAGTGATAGCAATTGTATCGTTTCAGACAAGGACGAAGGGACTTTATTACACTGTGAAGGACTTGTTACAGACAGACGAATAATACAAAACAAATTACATTTTAATGGGGGTATAAATATTGTATATATAAAGAGCAATTTAAATTCACGTCCTGCAATGTTTACGAGGAAATAGGTAATACATTAAAGGACACGAACACATAATGTAAAATATTACACAGACATGTCCCCAATACTAGTATGACAGTCTTTTGTCGAAGGCTATAGCCACGGGCTGCGAGTGAAAAGGGGTTGGCTAGCAAAGAGGAGATTTGGCTTTCAGTCCTCCACCCTAGACAACCCATACACTTAGAAAATACACAATGGTGTAAGTACTATCTGAATGAACTCGCTCATACCCCTGGCTACAGCCCATACATTTATTTGTCTCTAAATCTAAATCATTATATTTAGTAGATTTTGAGCTCCCATCAAAATCCAAGATCTCATTATTACTAGAAAAGAATAATATCAAGATTTCGAAAATCCATACAGTCAAATATAAACATTGACGTAACACGAGTGTATATTTACAATTAATATAATCAATATTTAACTTACTACTTTACTTGTGAAACCAATAACATCCTCGTAATAAATCTTATTCTATTAAAGTCTGAACTTTTCAATATTTCAATAAACACATCATTGTGATGAATGCTGATTGTTTCAATTTCCGTCAAACGTCTAGAGTTTATGAGACTAGAAATTACCAAGTGACACGAGGTGAGATCGCTGAAATAATGTAGATATTTTGTTATCAAATTGTTCAATACATTTACGAGTAATTTGTGTAAATGCTGAAACATTGAGATAATTATACTAATCACTTGAGTGTCACTCCAACGAAATTAAGGCAGATACGTAGAAGGTTAATAATTTTTACAAACACCATTTTAATATACAATAAAACGTAATTACGGTCGTTACTAAACAATGTTCCGGGGGAGTCGTAATCTTCCCCCATCAGTGCAATTCATACAGAAATTTTGTTCATTACCAGATCAAGTCTTAAGGTCGCGAAACAAGGAATTTGAGACTTCGACAAGATTATTTTGGCTCGGAATATTGCTTGGAGATTTAAATCTGCACATAATTTCTTGTTCAAAAATGAGGTCTCGTAAAATGTGGCTTGGAGAGATATTAATGGATTTGTAAATCTTATCTCGTTATTAAATTTATTCGGATACAAAGCTGGATGTATAAAATCAAATGTTTGTCGAAGGAAATTAAAATGAATATCCAAAGCGTCGATTGGGTGTAAAGCGTTTGACGACCTCGGTCGTGTCAAATGAAGGTTTCTTCGTTTCACTGCTCGTAAACTCTACGTACATACGTGCGTTACACATTACTCGTACACCCTAGCATCACAATTGACAATGTCGATAATGATCACTATTCTACACTTCGATGATTTATTTACACCACTCGCACCATACTTGCATCAAGTCAACAATAAACCACATTTACAAAATATGAGCTATGGAGATCACATATCATTCGTTATCGATCGAAACCTTGGTTCCGAAGTTTATATGAAAGAAATTTACTTATAAGAATAACAAGAGCTTACATAATACATTCTATCGCTTTTGTACCAGTTCATCGCGACAGACAGGTATTTTAATTTAAGAACTAAGCGATTTTATGGCAACTTCCTTATCTTAAATACCTTTGTATTGTTTACGAGTACCTCTTGAATTATAACTAATCATAATAAAAAAATATTGAAACAAGAACAGTTAATCCAGATTTACTGCAAGAGTAAAACTAGAATATAACCATAATATTTCTTTTACAACTGGTTTAAAAGGCAAAGTTTAGTTGTTTTTCTCCAAATATTGCCCATAAACAAAGCTCAGTGAATTTAAACATTCATTTTCTGTTGAATTAAGATGACAGTGACTGCTCAAACTGAAGGCAAATTAAATCACCTGTTAATTAGATAATTTGGTTTCCGTTTTACAAGTTAACAACACTTTTAATCCCACGTCACTCGCGAAGTTTCTAAGTCTGTCACCACCGACTTATTTCTAGTTCATTTTCCTTCCCTGTATAAAATTATGTTACGCGACTTTATCACAAAACATTTGTTCACACGCACTAGCTACACTTAACTTGTTATCATTGTAGAGCAACAGCTGCGCGACATTGACGATAATCTCACCAACTTCACTTATGAGTTTCACGCAGCCGTCGCCCTTGAACTTGCAGACGATGAGAGTTCATGGGGTAACAAGTAAACGGAAGTCAGGGGCAGACTCGGGGGCCCACGCGACACAAACACGGTCGTCGGCAGCCGAGCGTCACACGCGTCGGCCATCTTACAGCCGTGTTCATACGATGATCTCGCGGATGACGCGGCGTGCGCGCGAGTTGGGTGTCGAGTAACCTGACTCCAGCGACTCGTCGTAGCCCAGCGACATGTGCAGCGGCTTCTCTTCAGCACCGCCCTCCTCTGCGCCACCGCGCATGCCGTACTCCGGCAGACCACTCACCTCATGGTACGGTGATTCTGATGAACAAAACAAACTTTAAGAAAAAATCCATTGTTTGAACTTGCCTCAATCGACTTAAATCTAAATATCTAAACATGGCAACAAGCATGTACGTTCTTACTGGCAAAGATGAAAATAAAAACTGAGGTATACAGAAATTCAAACATCTTTCAAACAATTTTCCATTCGTTGCAGACGTATACTATAAAGTTGGTACTTTATTAACACTATAATTAAAGCTCCTGATGGCAAACACGGTAGACTTCTCATACTAATAAACGTCAGATGTTGGTTTTAAGACCACTAGGAAAAATCTATTTTTTACAAAAAAGAAAATGATTACAGGCAACTTAAAAAATAAAAATTATTTGGCATTTTTTAGAAACGCTCTTTTGGAGAAGTGTGGGCGTAAAGTCATTAACGCGTAGCCTCTACGTTCCACGAAAATTTATAGTAGTAATTTATGGTCAACTTTTCACAGGAGAAGAAAGACTTGCCTCAAGTGGAAAATGAATGTACTGTGTGCGGAAGTATCGTTGTACGTTAATGAATAAATGCTTACCGATGTGTTGATCCATCCGCTTCTTGGGTTTGTGTACTGAGGCGTATGGGTCGGAGCAGTACTCCTGTCGAGAGGGGTTCTGTGCGGCGCGCATGTCGTAGTCATTGGGTGCGGGAGGCTGACTGGCGTGGGGCAAGTGCGAATAATGCGCATAGTCATCAATGTTCCTGTAGCCCGCGTGAGATATTGGGTCGTAGTCGTAGTTACTCTGTCGGTCGAGCACCTGGTGCGCTGGTAACGTCGCCGCATTATTGGCCGCTGCCATCTTCATCTGCCACAGCGAGTCTTGCGAGTTCACGCTACCCCCGTTATTACTGTTCGTGTAGCTATTTTCTATGAAGCCCATGTTTACCCCTGTGTACAATAAAATTATTTAATTTCAAATCCTAAAATTATGTGAGAATTGAACGCAACATGCAAAGCGTGCTTCCAGGTATATGTTGATTTTACCTTCTAAGTAGATTGCAGTTAGTCCTGAGTGATTGCGTATGAGAAAAATAAATTAAAGTGGTAAAATCAAAAATTGAATTAAAATAAAATAATTTGTGTTCCAAAGAAGTGAAGAAAAGTAAAATGAAGTATGTTCTTTAATCACGTCGTAATTAAAACAAATATGGTTGTGATAACTAATATTTTGAAACAAAACGTGTAGACTTACAGTCCGAATTAGGCATCGTTTGTCCAGGATGAGGCTGTGTGTGTGGTGGTACGTGATACGAGTAGCCGCCTTGGGTCGCGTATACAGCAGTTTTGGAGTCGTCCATTGATAGCGCCATGTCCATAGAATGTTCTAGAGCTTTATTTTCCATACCGGAGCTAGGGTAATATGGAGGCGGGGCCTGATTCTGTGGTGTCACTTTAGCCGCTCTCATTGAGTCCATTTCATAGTCTTTGGACCTGTCCTTTTTGTTAGGCCTGCGCCTGCACTGGTAGATCAGTAGCAATAGTCCCACAAACAAGAGAACTACAACTGTCGTAACGAATATTCCAACAATGGCGGCTGTAGTGCGCGCCGATGTTTCCTTGATGTACGACGTACCAACTGTTATACAAAAAAAAATTATTGAAAACACGCTTTATAGATAACAAATATCTCGAACTGCTCATAATTTGTATTGCGAGTTCAAAATTGGCTATTAACAAAATACAACGAGAGATTAAAAGCCATTTAGGCTTTCCTTATGTTTTCATAAGACCAGTTTATTACAGTAAGTAATATAAGCCGTAGGGAAAACGTCAGGATGAAAGAGAACAACTAAAAATAAATCAGGGAACTTTAGTACAATGGCAAAAATGTTTCGAATATATAATATGTAAATGTATTGTACGAGGACTTACTTTCAGCTTCTGTGTAGTCACTGCACACGTCTTGATTGACTTGTAAACAAAGCTTGAGTCGTATGCGAGGGTTGAAGTCATCTAGTGGTGGGTCAGTGACGTGTCGAGCAGTCGTGCGAGTTGTTTTACTGGGCAGTTCGACTGTAGCTTCCTGTACAGTCGCCACTGCACCAGACAGTCGAAGGTTCACAGTATCCACTACCTGTTACACAAAACATTGTATGAGCTTTCTTTTTATGATTCTCAGCTCCAAATCTAATATCAATGATATTTGTGCCACAGACCACAGCGAAGTTAGTTAGGATTTACAGTCTGGATAAAAATTGAAGACATCCTATCTACTATCGTGCAAAGCACGTACGCTATTTGTCATTATTGTCTAACTATATATCTATATTACGTCCGATTCCATGAACTGAATTTATTTGATGTGTGTAGGTACTCCGAATATTGGCAAATATAACTAGATAAAACATGTTTGTATTTTTTTACTCAAATTTTCACATTCAGTGTAAATATAGCCAAAACCATGTAATATCACTCATGTTAATGCGATTCTTTACCGACAGTTGACAAATATCGCTAAAACCATAAAGAGTTTCATTGTACGTGTCACTAACATAATTATTTTACTAAGTCCGTATACTAAGTTAGCTCTCAGTTTAAACTTGAACGTAGCTTGTATTTCCATTCACATTTTGCTCTTAGTAGTAATTATTTCTTGGACAGAATGTCTGGAATTTGTATCCCTTCGGTCGAATCTAATGGCAAACGCATTCCTGGACTGGAGAACATAGTTCGTTGAAGTTGGAACAGATGAATATTATTTGCTTAATGAAGACATACAGCGATTTCTACCATCCTGTCCAGTATTATAAAATTCAAGGAGACTGCGCAGGAAACTAGACAGTATCTTATCTTTTTATTTTATTCTGTCTATCATTGTTTTATAGACTTTAGACCTTTCAAATAAATTTTAAATTACATTATCCATTGTTCGTAGTATCTAAAATAGAAACTGCTGAGCTATCAATGTGTAGATCCTCGATAAGCTTGTTCTAAAACTAATTTTAAATCTTGCAGTGCCAATAGATATATTTAATGGTATTTTATTGCACTGGTGAACAGAAAGGAGTTGCGAACGAGCGCCAATGAACTAATTGTATTAATGCACAACCCAGTTGTGCACGTGACATTCTTTCCAACTTGACACAAATCTATTTATCAGTGACTGTATCATTGTTAATACACCTGTACACAATGCCCTATTCAGCATTACGTTTATATAAAATTGCTTATATATATATATATATATATTATATACTAAAAGACAAATTAAGGAAGGCATAATATATAAAGCCACACATGTAAAGCCAGTACACAGATGTGAGCCGACATTAAAAAATTGTGAGGGTGTGATGTGCACAAGATTGATATTAAATATAAAATTAGGTAAATAAGGGTATGAAACTGTGATAATTACCTGCCATCCCGCGGTACCTCCCATGTTAGCGAGTCCTTCGACGACACCCACTAGGGCCAAACAAGTAGGGGTCACTGTGAATGCTATCGCCTGCGTGCTGGGATCATATGTCACTTGCTCTGGTGGATTGATTTTGTCCACCTTCGTTGTCACTGTGATCTCATTCGAGTAATTGCTTTGTCCCTTAGTATTTACAGCTTTCACCTATAGTTGAAAATTCAATTTAGAACCTCGAAGTGGCGACCGAATCGATTGTGAGCATTCTAAAGCGTGTCGAAAATCATAGCGACGGCACAAAAAGTAAAGAGAACATTGTAAACTTAAATAAACTAACGGCACGCGCCGGATGATTTACCTTGAAAACAAATGTGAGTTGCTGTCGGTAGCGATAACAATGAAAAACAAAAATGTAAGTTAATACCGTATTCGGGACAAACTCTAACCAAAACAACAAGTTTTTACAATGACTGGAGGGATATTACATCTCAAACTTAAGTTTGGCTTTATGCTAGTGATGGACCGAAGCCTTTATGCTAGTATCGAATTTTCGCAAAACTGAACCGCAACTGAAACCGAAAAGTATACGGAACCCCAGTTAACTTTCATACTTCGAGGTGACAATGACAGGTCGGCCAATGTTATTGTGGCTTTATCATTGTGAGCATTGATTTGATGCTCACGTTCATTCTACGTTCAGTAGATCACAAATATCAGTGAAAACGAATGTCGTAAAATATATTCGGCCCATCACTATAAATTGCCTTTAGAAAATTGGTCTACATAAAATTTGTCTAATCTATAAATAGCTCAATTTATATAAAATTTAAGTATCAAAAACAACCGTATTATTATATACGGCTCTTCACTATTTGCTACCTCCTATAAGTACACACTACATAGTACTATAATAGTTTTAATGGTGGGACTAATATTGTAAGTAAAATGAAAAAATGACGTTCTATTTTCTGACTAAACGACAAAAATATAAATTGAATTTTTCATATTTTGTAATTGTCTTACCTTGAATGAGTATGTGTTATGCTGGTCCAGCCTGGTGACGTTGCAAGGGTTGATACGTCCACAGTCGTACTCCATCCAGTCGTATTCAGAAGTTCGGTCGGAGGCGCAGTGCTCGGAGCTGGCCGAGGATCCCGTGCCACGGAGTGACTCGCGTCGATAGCGCACGAAGTATTTCGTACTCGACAACCCGCCATCAAACCCAGCTTCCCATTTCAAAGTCACGTATGTCGGCCCCACCTTTTGACTCTCTAACGCTCGAGGTGACTCCGGGGCGCCTTTGGGCTGTAACCTTATCTGAGGACGTATGCTCCCTAGTGAGTTTTTCACTTTACAATAATAGTCCCCATAATCTTGCGGTTTCACCATTTTTATTTTTAACACACTGCGGTAAGAGTCATTGTTGTCTGTCGTAGTATTTATCTCGTAGTGTCCGTCAGAGGACATTTGCAGTGGAGCTGTGTTAGACCCGTAGAACCATTGGAATTCTGGCTTTGGGTAGGCTTGAACTCTACATAGTATTTCAGCACTTTCCATAACATCATAAGCAACTTTATTCTGTTGCCGAATTGATATAGGTTCGTCTGCAATGAGAATAATACGTTTAGCAACATAAGAGTTATAAAAATGTGTTAATATAAATGTTTCTTACTTATTCACTTCCTTTAACATAAATATTCCTTTCATACAGTTAAAGGAAGAGAAAAAGTAAAGAATATTTTATAATTAGTTCTGTAAGACGAACATTTTTGTCTTTTATTTGCTTACTCGTTAAAGTTCAAGATTTCAGCGTCTACAATATCATAATGTTACATAATACTTTTTATACTTACGTTCTATTCGAAGATGCATCGTAGACTCGACTTTCTTAACTTCGTTTTCAAAAGCACACGAATAAATACCCCGATCGTCGGGCAATAAGTCATTAGTAGTCGGTCTTGCTTTGCCGTTAAATTTAAGAGTACTTTGAACTGTGTAAACAGCGTTTCTGCTCTCAGTTATATCAGTTTTAACTTCGTACAAATTCGTGTCGGCTTTAATTTCAGCGTTGTCCTTAAACCATTTGACATTAGGACGTGGTTTACCAAGGGCACTACAGGTGACCGAGAAGTCCTGTTCTCCCGATCGCTTCGTCATGTGTGTTTGTAATTTAGTTTGGAAACGTGGCGGTTGATGAACCTCTAACGTAACTGAAGCAAGTTCACCGTGCCCTAATTCGTTTGTAGCTTGACAATGGTAAACACCTTCACTTCCAAGGTGTGCACTAGGTATAGAGTATTGATTTCCTGTTGCAAGTACAGCAGGCTTGACATCTGGACTAGTATCCATATCCCGGAACCAGCGGTACTGTGGAGCGGGCCAACCCGGCGGCTTAGCACTACAGGTAAGAGTGACTCCCGCACCCTCCTGAGCCACTGGCCGGTCAGGGCTGATGTACGCACGACCAGGCTTGTGTCTCACCAGCACAGCCACTGAGGCACTGTTTGATCGCTCGGTACGTTTCCCGTTGCTGGATGATATAACATTGACAGCGCGACAAACATAAGTACCAGCCATGTCTGCATTCACTCTAGTCAAACTGAGGGTGTTGCCACTCTGATGAAAATCGGGTTTCCCTTCCATCGTCCAATCAATAGAAGTAGGTTCAGGATTTGCGGAAACTTCGCAGCGGATTTCGACATTTCCACCTTCCTCAGCTTCAAATGTTTTGGATACTACAGTGACAGTGGGAGGGAAGAGTACATCGAGATACATCTCTTTCTCTCCTGGTCGTCCTAAGCCATTGTCAGCACTACATGTGTATTTTCCTGCATCCTGCACCGTAACTCCTTGTATAGTATGCGTGAATGAGTTCGAAATATACTTTCCGTTCCTAGTCCATTTCACAGAGGTCACTTTAGGCTTGGCATCGACTTTACATTCCATAGTGGCGACACCATCTATTTCAACTCGCAAAGGATTTTCTGGACCAACTTCAACTCGAGGAAAATCTAAAACAAATGATAAAAAAAAAGTATGAAAACATGTTTGTATACAAAGTAAATTGCTAGGAATAGAACCACAAGGAACATTTACATCTCACGTCTTGCGTATATAGCTCACGATAGTTCGCAGACTCAACATTGTACAAAGGAAGCGGATGTGCCGTTAGCTATTCGAAGCATACCAATAATAAATGTGTTTACAGAATCTGTCAGAATTAAAACATGCACTGGTGTGCATTCACGGTGCGTGTTCTTCATCTGGTGAAAGACTTTGCTTATTCAGGTCAGCTCATAATAAACAGATGCTGCTGCAAGAAACGAGCATCAAAACGATGTTATCATTTATCGTTTCTGTTAACTTTTTATTTCAATTACGTAACCCAATTTTCGATCATTGAACGCCGACATATGGCTGCAGTTGCATTTTAAAGATCGAGGCGAATTAAAATAACGCCTGAGTTCAATGGTCTTTTCTAACCCTAACATTTTGTCTTTAACGATCACAACAATTATGTCATGCACTTGCAGCGGAATTTTGGAATAGTGCCGAGTGCAACCGCGTTGCTCGTTGCTCTTTTTATCTCATCTTGTTAATAGTTCCCTTACAAAGACATGGAACCTAATTGAATTACTCAACCTTCTGGATGTCAGTTTAATCTGTTCTTTGTGTATTTTATTTAGCGTTTTACTATTGACAATTCAAAAAAGTCTTATAACGCTTTATAAAATATAAATACAAACTTAGATCAGAGAGGATTTTGAAGTACTCGAAGCTAAGCATAAAAAGTGCTAGAATTTTATAAAGCCTGTCTCTGCAAAAATGTCTTGATTCCTGTCTTTAGGTAATTCTTTGGATAATCTTTCAATAGGACGCGAAAACGGTTTGTTAATCTTTCAAGTATTGAAGTTGTATTCACTGGAGGCTTATTTTAAGCTTACCTAAATATCTATTAAGGCAAGATGTAAAATCTACCAACTGATGGTGCATTTGTATTCTTTTTAAAACCTTCATCAAACATGACGGTACAGTTTCAAAATTTTTAATGTAAAAAGCGGTAAGCAATTCTTTATCATTTCCATAATTTCCTCTATACGAAACAATATCATCTCATCGTTGTTCTGAAGTTAGCACAATATCCGTCCTCGGTCCCTTTGCTGAACCTAATTGTCGGCCAACTATAACAAACAGGAAAGTTTTTGTCCGTTGGCCAGTTCACCTGGGAAACTTTCGATTGCGGGATTTGTCTTAACGTGTGGGCCGGCCTAAACTAACTGGAACAACTACTAATGCTACTAGCTCCACACCAAACTGTTACCTGCTGAAGTAGATACAACAGACGCCTAAATAAATCTATCTACAAGAACCCAAATTAAAAATTAAAAGCCCATTTTAAAGTGTTTTTGGGTTTTTCCATTAGAAGTTTCTCAGAAGCAGGCCTGAGGCTAGATGCCCTTTTAATGGTAACAGAATCATCCCCCATTACATGGGCCGCATGACATAATCTAGCGAAATGTGGGTGTATGTGATACAATTTTGATTATCCATCCGGAAATATACGCGCGGTATTATTTAAAAGGTCTGATATTTTTACAATGAGAAGAGACAAGACAAAACACAAACGCTGAAATAATAAAATATATTTTTTTGTCCTTTTCATTCAGGTAGAGTGTTCCAGAATGCATACTAAAATAAAAAAAAGGATTATACGATTATTATTTTCTCTTGGCCCGGTTTTAATAAGACTGGTATTTTGTGTGATACGGCTATCTAGCATATATTAAGTCTGAAATAAATGGCTAAGAACATTCATAGTGGTGTATTTACTCAGTAGGGTCATGTAAATAATACCGAGCAGGATTCCATTCCCGAGGTAGCGGGAGCAAGTTTAGGTCATTGAGGTTATTTGCCGAGAGCTTTTGCGTTTCCTTGATGGCCGCTGGCTTCGCTCAGGGATTCACCCGAGACGTCTCTACATTTGAACGCGCGAAAGGAGTTCGTACAAATACCATCTAACAGTGTTTCTTTGCACTACACATACGACTTTTATGGAACAGATTTTAAACTAGAATCTACTACATACCCTATCAAATAGCCTAATATAAAGGAAAGCTTTCAAACATGTTTTCATCGTTCCGAACCTTATTACAAAGTCAGGCAAAATCAATAATTAGATCAAACTAATTTCCAGAGTAATAAAAAATATAAGTAATCAAACTGATCTTAATACGAAACACAAAGATATTTCTTGGACAGCGTGGAAAACATCAAACTTTTACGGCCAGCAAATCATCAAAGATTTATTGCACGAAAATAAGATTTCACTACGAATTATTACTTACTTTGAAGATATAAAATTCAGACGAAATGAATTAATTGAACAGGATATCCTCTTACTTAATAATACTGTTAAAATTATAATACTGCCTGTTCACGAGTCGGGAATAGGATGTATTCTTCATATTAATTCGAAATAAATCCTCTTTCACGTTTTTATCTGTTTTTGATAACAATAAAGGTAAGCTCAGCGTTTCTTTGCAGTAATAATTTGTATTGGAAATTAACCGCAAAAACAAGTAGATATAAAATACATATCCACTTGCTAGATATAAAATTTGGAAATAGGTATAAGCACGCACTTTTTATGTCTATTGTTTTACTTTATTTCGTTGAAAGAACGAAAAGGAAAACTGAAACTGAATACCCTTAACTTATATTTAAGATACAAATTACTGCTACAATACATATAGGTACGAAATAAATAATTTTTGTTACACCTGTTTTGCACATCCGCGATACTTGCCTAAACTCCTGAAAAGGTTTATTCAGAGCGTGAAAGGAATTGGATGACGTAACTGGCTTAAGTATCACACTACATGTGAAAGAAAAAATAACGAAATGTAGGTGCTAATATTACATGTGATGAATGAACCTGTTGTTTACATTTCGTGGTGTAATACAGAGCTCAATTATATATTTGTCTCGGCTAGTCGAATTTAGTCTGTATTGTCTTATTAGGTACGTGCTTATAATTCAAAGCTTGCTTCGGAAATTATGTCGTACCTTCATACAGCCTACAGTCCTTAAGGGCTATATTTCAATGTAAAGTAGTGGTAATAGCATCTCCCAGCTCCTTGGTTAACAGACGACATCAGAAAGATGATCAATAAGAAAGCTGCAGCAAAAGCCAGATTTAAATGTCAGCCCAGTGCAGAGAATCGAGCGAAATATGTGGGCGTTCGCAATCACTGTAGTAGGATTTGTAGGGAGGCGCAACGCCACTACTTTCATAAATCCGTCAGTGATGAGGACCCAGCGAAGATTTGGAAATTTCTGAAGTCAATGGGAGTTGGTAAAAATCATGATGAACCTTTTCCAAATAATTTAAATATTGAGTCGCTAAACCAGCATTTCTCATGTTCTTCTTCCTTTAACTCTACTGTTAAAGGGAACACACTAAAACATCTTTCTTCTTTACCAACCCCTGAAAACTCTCCTTTCGTATTTAGTCGTTTTACCGTCTGTGATGTTAGGAAGAGTGTAGAATCAATTACATCTAATGCTGTAGGTGCGGATAACATTAGCCGTAAAATGGTGCTACCTATACTCGACGAGATTCTCCCGGTCATCACCCACATCCTAAATTATTCCATTTCCTCCGCAGTTTTTCCATCACAGTGGAAAGATGCACAGATTACGCCACTGCCCAAAAAACCTAATCCCAAATGCTACTCAGAGTACCGTCCTATCTCCATCCTACCATTCCTCTCAAAGGTCCTAGAACGTCTTGTACATAACCAGTTAAACTCCTACCTTCTCCGTCATCAACTCCTAAATCCATTCCAATCCGGTTTTCGTCGAGGCCATAGCACTACAACAGCACTTGTACATATTGCTGATGACATAAGACTCGGCATGGAGAATGGAAATCTGACAGTGCTCTCCCTACTTGATTTCAGTAACGCATTCAACACTGTCGATTTCGATGTCCTTCTCGGTATTCTGCGCTCCCTTAACATATCTCCAGCGGTAAACGATTGGCTTCAGAGTTACCTGTGTGGCCGTCGACAGCGTGTCCGAGTGGACACAAATTTCTCGACTTGGCGTAGTACTGCTGCTGGCGTGCCGCAGGGTGGCGTCTTATCTCCTCTTCTTTTCGCAACTTTTATTAATTCCATCTCTGACCAACTTCTATCTTCCTACCACCTTTATGCAGATGATTTGCAGATTTACGCGCAGGCACCGCTCGAAGAACTCTTGGAAGCAGTCAAAATGATAAATGCCGACCTGACTTCAATATCCAACTGGAGCTCGACTTACGGGTTAAAAGTGAATCCAGCAAAGACTCAGCTCATTGTTATCGGCAGCCCCAGACAGATAGCTAGAATTAACTGGACGCATATTCCACCGGTCACGTTTGATGGAACTACAATCCCGTACAGTAAATTTGTCAAAAATCTGGGTATTCTCTTTGACAGCACTTTGTCCTGGGCTCCACAGATTCAAGAACTGAGTCGCAAAATCTTTGCATCGGCGGCGTCCTTAAGAAGACTTCGCAATTTTTTACCAATCGCCACTAAAACTGCGCTTGCTCAATCTCTCCTTCTTCCCATCTTGGACTACGCTGATGCCTGCTACCTTGATCTAACAGAGGCACAACTGGACAAACTTGAGCGTCTCCAAAATTTCTGTATAAGATTCATATTTGGCTTGCGCAAATATGACCATGTCTCGGAATTCCGTAACAAGCTCAAGTGGCTTCCTATCCGTCTTCGCCGGAATACGCATATCCTGTCACTTCTTTACAGTATTCTGTACAATCCTGCTACGCCCTCTTATCTCAAAGAACGTTTTAAGTTCCTTCATGACGCACATTCAAGACACTTGAGGTCTACTGCGAATTTGAGATTGGAGATGCCAACACATACGACTGCCTTTTATGACAAATCCTTTGTTGTAGGAGCCATTCGACTGTGGAACGCACTTCCATTATCAATAAGACGGGCGCAATCTTTGGATTCGTTTAAAAGACAAGTAAAAGATCATTATCTAACACAGATTCAATAGAGTAACTGCTACCGCATATCCGTATGTATGTATGTATGTATCTGATTTTGTGTATGTATGTGTATGTATATATATATGTATATATGAGTATGTAGGCATGTATGTGTGTGTGTACATATTGTATGTATGTATCTAAACTGTTCTGTCATATCCATTGTATTTAATTCAACACTATGAACTACCCACATGGTATCTGCTCTCACGGTTATTTATCCATCCTAAGGTTGCCTGGAAGAGATTGCTGTAAGCGATAAGGCCGCCCATTGTGCAATATGCCAAAACTATTTTTTTTTACCTACCTACTATTTTCTTGTTCGTGTCTTTTGTAAGTGGTGTACAATAAAGCGTTTATTATTATTATTATTATTATTAATTTAACCGGTTATTCAAGTAACGGGTGACCACTATGGATGTGCCCAATCACACACCGGGGACATACGCTCGCAGTGCGGATTCCAAACGTGATAAATTGCAACGATATTGATTTCAGTCTATACCATGATGTCTTCGTGACAAAGTTTCTAGTGTTCGTTTATTATTTCAGTTTACTTCGTCGTCCTAGAACTTCTTATGAAAAGTTTAGTTTCTATTAACAACAATGATAAAAGGTCTTAAATTATTTTAAACGACTTCTGTGAGAAGACTGTTAAAATGATTTAGTAAATACTGGCTGTAAGAATGTCATAAGACTCCGATATAATTCAGCGGCGTCCGCGGGCGCTTGACTTTTACAATTCGCGTGAGAATTTATGCAGCTGATAGATAAACAATGTTTTTCTTTCATTTCCACAACAACCGGGATCTTAGTAATAGTTGATGAGTTCATATGCATCGCTGTTAGAAGGCAATTAGGGCCTTCAACTTAATATAAAACTTGTTATTGAAAAGACAAATACAATTACGGGTTAAATAATTCCTCGTAGTCGCGGGTCGTGGCTACAAGCGCTGCCGGTAAACATGTCCTAAATCGAGCAAAGTGTTAATTTGTTTTCGGAATTAAGCCTAGTGAATAACAATGATCTTTTGGGTAAGAATGGAATTACTTGAAACTAGACTATTCCAAAGTTCATTGTAAAAGAAACTTGATAAGCTCACCAATTCAAATATATTAGATTCAAGTGAAGAAATGTTATTTTATTATTTAAGTTAAACTTGTACTTACAATTGACACTAAGGTCGACAGATGCATCGAGTTGTTGGCCCTCCGACATGGCTCGGTTCCACACCACACATCGGAAGACTGCTCCATCATCTTCCCTGGTCGGCATGAGAGTCAGGGTAGCGACAGTCGGCTCCGACCGAGTCTTAGCGTGAACAATCGTCGCGTCCAAGGGATACGTTGAACCCTCACGGTACCACCTGAAAAATTACTCTCATTAACATTTGTATGAGCACAATGTGTCACGCTGGTTTCCACGCAAACTTAAGTCTACTGACGTTTTTGTGTGTAACTAAGGCTTTTTATGATTGCTACGGTTTCCTAGCTGTAAGCTATGTTACTTCTATTCATTGACTTCAATTTTGTCGGTAGTAACGAGTAAATAAATAATGCTAGAGGCTAGTCGGCATAGCATGGCTTGAAACTAGTCGAGTTCCTCGTCAAATAATTACGTGAGTAAGCCGAAAACATAATATTTAATAAACAATTGTTATAAATTGTAAATAAATTCATACTAATTGCAAACCTTTAATTATCCTGCTTCCCCTAGAAACATAACAGTAATATATTTTCTGTTTAAAGTCGGTGCTTGGAGTTGTGGTTTCTCAAACAGCGATTAACAAAATAAATCTCTTTGTTTTATAATTATTTTAAATAAACGATTAATTACAATTTCATTTCGAAAAGCAACGCAAATATTTAATGGCATACTTTATTGTTGGTGTTTACAAGAATTACAAGGTGGTTACATTAAATAAAACTGCAATTATGGTCGATATGGTTAAATCAAATAATCCAATTGCTATGTGCTCATAGGATGTGGTATTTATATAGCGATATTAAATTAATTACGTGAGAATGATGCGAACACATAAGTACTTGTATTTATATATTCAGGTGGGTTACGCACATACGTATAAAACCACGCATGTTTACTTTAGAATTTAGATCCTACTCAGAATAGAATTTAAAATTTAAACAGGAAGGTGCCTAAGTTTCGTGTTTTACAAATGTTACTTCGCGATATGTTGTACAGACATACATGTGTACTCTATTATGATGTCCCTGTTTTTAAAACTGATTTATATGACAACGCATCTAATTGCCGAAATAATATACAGAAGTAAGCAGATCTTTTAATGTTATCTCTATCTTTTATTCAATGACTGGAAATAGCTGGTACTATAACTAAAGACGAAACAGCGAAATACTCAGCAAGGAGACCGAGACCCGGTTACTTATTCGTCATTCACAAAATATCGGTCGCCCAAAATTTTAATTACCACATAATCACAGCACACTATCTTATAATACTGTAATCCTACAACACCTAATCTTCCCACCACACGTACTTCACAAGTAACTGCAGTGTTTATAACTAGTTAGTAGTGTATATTTAGTTTATCCCGCACTGTAACTCGGCTAGTACTCCGTCACACTGTATACTATTTCAGAGTCCGTAATGAAGCCTCAACTTTTTGGGAAGCCGGGACAAGAACGGGTAACTCCCAGGTCTGTGCAAAATATAAACTTATAGCGACATAAAATTATGTATACAATGAAATGAAATAAAAGTTGTTTTACACTTTTACACCTACACGCTAGGTGAGATAGAATTTTGAAACGATTGCTGTTTGGTATTTGCGTTATCAAATTAAGGTTAATAAAGTTTCAAATTTAAAAATACTACCACAAATAATAAAAATAGTAGCTGTACCGTACACAATGTTTATTTTAAATATAGTGTTGTATTGTTCAAACGTGTGAAGTTGTACACTACTTTTCTGAATGAATGAAAAATGAATGAACATTTTGACATGTTTACTACGTTATCTGATAATGTTCTCTTTGATAACCAGACTGTTCATTTTATGCTTACCGTTCTATCACGCCTATTTATTTTCTATTCTCGATTGAATCCCGTTTGCTTGTAACTGCAATACCAATTAAAACAACTAAAAATGAAACTCATGCTGCGGCTGAAAGTTATTCCTCGCTCACAGCACCGTCTCATAGTTCATGTATCCGGGACACATATCCGGTTAAACGTAGTACCACCGAGTTTTTGTAACGTGTATCCAGAACACCTAGTTTTCATCCGGCCGAGATGTCGACCTTTTTATGCAAAGTAGTGCTAGCTCCGCGACAACGACGAGCTGCTCTCATATGACACCATTTTCGAATATCCCTAACCCTGACTAGTAAGCTGCACCGCTTCAATTTCATTATTTGTACCAGCATGTAATATGTGCGTCGGCAACGGCCATTTCGACAACTGGCTACCCAGCGGCCGCCGGTCGGCGACTACCATGCCCAGCATTTCTACCCCAGCTCTAATTGAATCCGAGTCACTGCCTACATGAAATTTATCACCACATTTATCAGCTTTTTATCTCACCCGTACGCCGTTCTTAATGCGTTAGGTAAAAGCCAATTACGGTTTGGTACGAAAACGTACAAAGTGTAGGGAGGATTAGTAGGGCTCGAACACTTGTATAGAGCCGGGTCAAGTTTTACGCAATTTATATAAATCACAAGTAGGAGTGTAGGAGTATTGTCTTAAAACGATGGAATTTGTCGCAAAGATAACCCGTGTTTTGCCTGGAGCTTACTACCCATAAAATTCCATTGTTCCCGGGGAAAATGTCAATGAATAATTAAAGTCGGAGGGAATATTATGACGAATATAATTAGCCTGCAGTACTCGTTCGGGCTTACGTAAATGACTTTTATTTCTCTGAGGCTTTAGCAATGTGTCAAATAAATTATTCCTTTATATGAGCTACTTTCAATAATTTACAAACAAAAGCGTAAATTAGTTGAACGTGAATATACTGCAAGACGGTGTAATGAGTAAATTCTGTACCCAGTAGTAAACTCAGCAATTCACGGTGGGAAAGTGCAAAGAAAATGTAAGTAACATTTGCCAGAATTAAACCGAAAGCAAGATTAATTTGAATCAAAATCGTTTACATGTGTGAGATACCAAACAAGTTGAAGAATTTTACCAACTTGCACGTGATATAGCAATTACAATTAGACGTTTAATTTGTTACTTTATACTTATGTATGTCACGACAAAGTTTTAAAACTGCCAAGCCATACATATCACCGGTAAATACTGCGAGACTCATGCCGTTCATTTGAACTCACAAATTGTTTTCCACATAGATATTACAATTTTGTGGAGATGTATTTTAGAACTTCACAAAGTTGAATTCAAATTGGTTTTAATGGAATGTTTTAGGAAGGTTTAATTTGCTATATTTCCATATTTTATTAACAATCTAGACATATTGTGACACTAAGTTTAGACAATACATTTATTGTTACATTTACATGTTTATTGAGAATTTGTAACAAACAAAAATCCAAAGTACATAGACAGTTAATCACCTGATATTTCATCTAAACCTGAACATAAACTACACTTACTTGATGGTAGGCTCGGGTGATCCACCTGAACTGGAGCAGGAGAGGTTGAGTTCCCGGCCCTCCTGGGACTGTGCGTGCGAACCCGGTGTGAGCACTGGCGCGCGCGGGCTGGTTAGCACGGTCAGCGCGTGCCCCTGCGCGTGCAGCGTGCGCCCCGACCCACCAGCCTTCACGCGACACTCGAACCGACCATTGTCCCTCTCGTAAGACACATTCGACACCATCAGATCAAAACGACCCTCCGTCGGCGCGTATGAAATTCTGTAACAATACATATTTTCCTTTTTAATTTCCAAGAACACCTCGCTTCAATCCCTAATGGGTTCGCTCATTATTTTCCAGGATCGACAGATTCCTGTACGATCCTACAAAGAACAAAAGGTTGAGCCAACATGAATGTGTTCCCTTGAGATCTTCACGCTTAAGCAACGAGGCCGTCGACTCTTCAGACTGCTTGTAAAATATTTGCAAGTCGTTTGTAAACAGGAATACACCACGAACTTAGTTCCTATATAGTTCGTATTTGTTGTTTAATCTTTTGCTTTTAACAGTGTACCTATGTCGGGAAAACACAGATTTTAAAACTATTTTCCTAGTGAAAAGCGGATTTAAGTCGGGACCTCAACGCGCTCTCCACGTTTGAAAGGATGCTAATCGTGTGTACGTAATACGTACACATATATCGTTAGAGAAATGACACAAAGGAATTTTACGTAATTCCCTCTTAGTGGTGACAAGGCCCAACATGTACCTACAACGTACAGCCTTAATATTATTGTGGTTGTTCTTCAGGACGCTCAAAAATATTTCCTCTTTTGGCTTATTACAACAAGATGGCAGTGACAACTATATTCCATTTGCATTATTGGATTACCTATATATATTTCGATTGGAAATCCCACTTGAGTCTTTACTGTGACCAGAAAAATATACGTTTATCAAAAGGAGCAATTTTGCATAGAAATAATAATTCGACATTTCATATATTTTATCAAGCTTCCAAGTTATTAACGTGTTTGAAAAGAGACTGTTATATTTTTAGTATCTTGGGACAGGTATTTTCATATTAGTTACGAATCGAATGAATAAAATAGGACCTAGTCCAGACCACTACTGTAATTTCAGTGAAATATTGACAGGGCAAAGTGTCCTAATTCGGAGCTGGAATACTATTATATATATATTCAATATAACATCGGACTTACAAGTGTAATACAAAGACAATATTCCAACGAATAAGCTCGATTATCTTTTTATAAGTAACAAAGACAAGGCATATAGTGATTACTGTGCCATAAATCATATTATTGTCGAAGGAAACCTCATAAAGTTATGTTCTGTGGATTCGGAAATAACTTCATCAATAAGAAATAAAGTAGGCAATCCATAAAAAGTAGGAGTGTCTAATGAAAATTGCTTTTTTCGGAACTCTTGGTGTTAAGTCGAGGAAGATAACGATATCTTTAAATTATTATTCATATCATCGGTCCTTAATAGCTTTTGAATTTGTTTTAGAACATTATTTCTGTATTTTTATATTACAAATTACGACTTGCTCAAATAAACACAAAACAGATAAATTAATGATAGGCTACTTTCGTTGGATTTTTATATTACGTGGTGCATTTATTCGTTTGATTTCATATTGATTGACTCTTTGTTAAATGAAAAACAAATAATCCAGGTTATAACCTATAAACAAGGTATACATTGTCAGCATCTTTTTGGAAGATGAAAATCATTAAAGTACACAAGCACGAAGCGCTTAGTCTGTATGTCCTGAAGGGTCTGTATAACCTGGGTGTCTTCAAGCCCCGAGTGAATAGGATGCTTATGGACGACGTGCTCCATCGTGGATCGCATAATCGCTTACCACCAAGCGAGATAGTGGTCAAACGTCGGCCCATCAGATATAAAAAAGGTATATAAATAATATGTAATATGTAGGTAGGTATGTATAGGTACCCCAAGTTCAAGTGAGAGTGCCACTACGCAGCGAAATGCCTAATTCAAAATGCCTAATACGAAAAAGTAAACAAAACAGTACCTCATACAGACAGAACATTGTGTACACGTTAATTAAGTCGAAATAGAAACGTGTATTTTTTACCGTTACCTACTTAGAGGGCTGTAGTATCACATGACTATTCTTACTGAAAAAATACCGCTACAGGGAATTACGTTTACCTCGTCTGTCATGCCATCAGTGTGTGATAATTTAATTTTTATCCTCGAAAACCCCTCTCCCGGGTCTACTAATTTATACGTATCTACATGAAGTTAGGTATCATTTTATCGTCGAGGGATCTTTCCAATGTACAGTTTAAAGGCTGTCGCTTGCTATAATGTACGCCCCGAAAGAACGATATTTGGACGCTGAATTTATCTTCCTCGCATTAGGCGATGTCGTATCGCATTCAATGTAGCTCGTGCATGAAATTAAGTAAATGTATTTCTCTTATTTTCAGTTTTAGATGTCTTACCACACAAATGAATTTTACCTTAAACGTATTCTGTTCCTGTAATGGTATGAGTAAGGTTAGTGCCAGACGTTTAAAATTAGCTTATTTAAAATTTCCTCTAGCAACCAACCCGCTCTCTTGTGGCAGGTCCAATTATAATAAAAATTATAATACTTTTTAGATAACTTTTAATCTCCAATAATTTACTTACTTCGAAGAGTTATAGCCTTGTGGCGGTATTATTTCGAACCAACTGCGTGTTTAGCACGCAAACTCTTTGTACTTTTTCATGAATATTAATTATTTTATAAGGGTTGGCAGATGTCCGATATTTACCCAAGAGATCGGTACTTATTTGAATTTCTTGTTGGGGTTAAAATAAAAAGGGTTTTATAGAAAGTTGTAGCTTATGGCACAATTTTATAAGCTACTAGATAAAATACTAACTACAATTTGCATTTTGACACATTCGGTCCTAGATATACAAAAATATTACCAAAGCCGCTTTATTTTGAGGTAAAAATTATGTTTCGTGTGCGAACTCAAACAACCTGTGTTTGCAATACAGAGCTGCGGTGTTTTGCGGACCTTAGCTTAAAGAAAATGGAATTTCTTTTTGTCCGAGTAGGTAAGAGCCGGTGTGCAGCCAAATGAAATTTTCTAGATACTTTCGTGAGTAATCTAATGTTGGCGAACTTACTGGTAATTGGTTTCGAGCGGTATGTTGCCGATGGCAACATTGTCATGCCCACTGGCTGTACTCCTGACCCAGTAGTAGGTGAGCGACTCCCCGGCGAGCGGTTCCAGGGCGAACCGACACTGCATGGTGACGTCATCACCTTCCCGCGCGTCATGCTGCTCGTCATCACCTCGCACCGTGCACCCGACTGGAACAAAATGCAGAAAATAAATCAAGCGTTCGTGTTAGAGAAAATGCTGGCAATGTCCTATCATAGCCTCGTCTTTTCCTTTAACTATAAAAAGTTTGCAAACTAGTCTGCTTTTTGAAATTTACTGTTCGTCAGCGTGGAAAGATAGCAAACATTCGCTGCAGTTTTTCATATAAGAAACTTTAAAATATTTTGATAATAAAAGCTTCGTATGTTAGCTAGGTTCCTAAAAATAGAACATAGACTTTTCAGGGTATGTTTTAAAAAACGTGTTATTTCGCCAAAGACCTTTACCGAGGAACATCACGTACTACACTGCGGCAATCACGTCCATAATAAATCCAGTCATTTTGAACGATAACTCCAATAAGTGGGTAACAAGATAATCTCCACTTTGCATCGCTTTCTTTCTAAATGCTCACTTCTATACTCGTCTAATCGATTGAATGAAAGCAACAACTTCCGAAGTATAGCACAGCTATTAGCGAGCTATTGCTCATTTAATAGGTAGTGCAGCGATGCACTCAGTACAATTTCATAATATGCAATGCATTTAAATTCGCTTGCTGCGGGCTTACCGAGTCTAAACAAAGAGCAAACTAATCATCGAACTATCACTTCAGCAATCTATTCAACGCCTTTACTCAATTGTATGAACTTTGAGTGCAAATTTCAATTTGAATTAGTTTTAGACACGGGGAATGTATCCAACCTTTAGTAGTGTGTACAATGTACATAATTATTATGGGGATTTGCACCACCTATCAGAATATGTATAAAACATATTCATCACGCAATATAAATTTCGAATTAAATAATTGACCAGAACCTCAACTGCTGTTTTTATTGTTGTAAATTGTTAACGAAAAAAAGTTCTTAATATTACAACAACAAAAATGGACTTCATAAAAAATTGTATTTGGATCAGCATCTTTGTTCGCTTTCACTTATTTATAAGAAACGCACTTATCTTATAGTTAGGTCTTACTAGAAATCTAAAGTGTATTGATATCGAGATTTTTTTTAACAGCCAATATATATAGAGAAATGTGGTCACTCAGTTTTAGAAATGTTGAAATCAAGCTAGGACTTTCGGAACATACAGAATAAGGTCTATTTTTCTCGGAACCAACTTAAGTCTCACTACTGATTATTTGAGAAAAGGGTACGAAAAACAACAACGAACATATGGATATGTATGTACTTATGTATGTATATAGTATAATTATTTGTTATCTGATCATTAATATCCTCTGCAGACGTCTCCCGACCCTTAATTATTCAGTAAACCAATTATGTGGCTAGGGGTGAACTGCGAATTCAGGAAGAGTCTCTCTAATACGCACAAGTCTATTAATATAGATAAAAAGGTCGCAGGTATGTATGTCTGTACGTAGATACAATTAACCCGCTTCGCTTTTAATGTTATGAAGATCTTTCATGTTTTTTTTTCGTAGGCTTTCGTTGTTAAATAGGTACAGGTGTTTTTTTTATTCAACGCATACTGTGATGTCCTTGAAATCTTAGTAAATAGTTAAATAGTTCCTAATATTTAGATACAT